CTGCATTTCTATGTAAAACGCCTTATTTAACCCAAACATGTTCATCGCAGTTCCGTGCCACGGCTGTGTGAAGATCCAGAAGCATCTTAAATTAGGGTCGTGCTCTTGAAAATTTGACCTACCATCCAACGAATTTTCAAGTTCACATGAAATATCTGTAATGTGTTCGTGTAGGCGAGCAAAGTAATCAAATGGGAAGCCCTTTTTCACGAATTGGGACATCAACTGGTCAGGTACGTGGATACTTTTACCAACTATTCGAAGCGTACGTTGGGATTTATCTCTAGTGAAATCACTATACACGCAATATTTTCCTGCGTAACATTGGCAAAGACCGGCATTCACAGTAGAACCCGTCCGTTTGGAGAGTTCTTTAAATATTGCTGTGATATTGCAAAAACTCTGTGTTCACTGTAGCCTTGAATATCAACGGAGAAACCGGTATGTTTTTGTCAGTTAAAGGAGAAAATAGTGATTCGGACTCCTGTAGAGTATAGAGGTCATTGTTCTGGCTACCTATAAACTGCAAAATCCAACTGCATAATTTGGAGAAATAAAGTGGGCGCTGATGGTGTGCTACAGTTTACTGTAGATGACAATGTTAGGGTTCCGTATTTTGATTATAGAAAACCGGTGGGCAACTAAAAATGAATTAGCGTACTAAGCATAAAAACGTTGTTTCTGCATCACAAGTGACGTATCGATAAATCCCCTTTCTCTGTAAGGCGTGGGTCCCAGAACCGGCCGGCGGAGCATAACAAAAGATCTACACTGACTTATCTTTGATGTCAAATGCTTTTGGATAGAACGCACAAATGAACACTGGGATAGGGAAGCACCTTCGACATATTCCTACATTTGTTTCCTCGGGCTGGCAAAAGTCCAGGCAGACTATCTGTTTAACCGTAATAGAGAGATGAGGGAAGTGGTGCACGATTTGACCATCCCGCGGCCATACATTTTTCTGACGCATAGACAAACCGGCTAAAGTTAGGGTCAAATGCTTGATGAGAAAAAGCTGTGTAGGGTTTGAGATAGTCCAATAAGTTTTCATTAATTTTACGCGCCATGAATATGAATTCTGCCGACTGCGGACTTCTCACCACAAAGGGGAAGAGATCAGAAGAGTTAATACATAGAAAATGCCTCTTAATATTCACACTGAGAAAGAAATAGAGATGTGGGGAGAACGACAACGTGAAATCAAGAGTAAGATAAGTTCAAGATGTCAGATAGCTGAGAGGAAGGAAAGATCTAAGCTAAGCTACAAAACTATTAAAACTGTTGGACGCGGTGAAACTCTTTTACATTCTGGAAACAGATGCTTCCTGTGAAAATCTCATACATGCCACGGATTTGCTGAAAGAAGCAAATACCGTAGGTGGCAGTTTTATGTTTGGAGGCGAAAGTTAGATGGATTAGAGATAAGTAAACATCAAGTTAAGGGAGTCAGGAGAGCATGGCGCGAAGTCCTAAACAACTAACTCTGGCTGTTAGAGTATACGCACAAATAACAGATGGAGGCTGTTTTATTGGTAATGAGCAATCCGACTTTGTCTTAAACGACTAACTTATCAAATCACAGAAAACAGAAGCGCAAAGATTAATCTTATATCAGGGAATTCCAAATAGGGAAGATATCAAGTAACAGTAGTGTAAACGGCAATCAAAACTACAAAGAAAAATAGATACAGGAAAGACTTAACCTATATGATAAAATGGTGTGATCCCTTACTTTTCTGCCTGTAACATGCGTTTACAATGGAAACAACGCAGCACGTTCAATGAAATAGACATAACTGAGGCTGTCACCGAAAAATTCAAAAACTATAGGTCTGGCAAGTATCTTTAGGGACTGGAATATTTAAACTTTATTGATCGGACTTGTACACTTACAGCCAGAATAATTGCTCGCCGAACTCCCGATTTCGAGCGTAGGAGAGTTAGAATGGGTACCGCGAGACGAGGATCTCCCCCGAACAGTACTGGAGGACGTCACAGTGTCTTTATCGGATACAAGAGTGCTGCATGATGAGCTAGGTGGGTTCTCCCAGTACTTTTGACCAAAGCTCATGACAAATTCGTCCTCGGATCCCAAATCGCTGTCATAAAAATGAGGGCGATACATTTCAAAGCTGTCCTCACTCAGACTTCTCTCTGATGGGTAGTTGAAATTCGTGGTTAATTCGTCATCATCTTTGAACGATATGCTCTTGTTACTCTAAAAATGGAACAGTTTTCTGGTGAAATACACTGTTAAATAAGCTGTATAAGCCAATAATGGACAAACAAAAATAGTCAGTGTTGGAGTTTAAAATAGACGCGAAGTGGCAGACGTATTACTGTTACAATGCAACAACTTACACACTCGGTCCGATCGAAGCAATAACATCATTAGCTTGAAGATCGGCAAAAAAACTACATATTACCTAGTGCAGACAACAGGAGTGCTAAGATCTATGTGGCAGTATGGACGAAGAATGGTCAGCACTCTAGAAGAAATACGACAAGGTATCATATAAGGCGTATTCGCTCCTACTCAAACGACGGATGCTATTTATCAGCAAAGTAATTGAGTCTTCGTCAAGAATAATAAGACAGCGATCTCCCGGATAGTACAACTGAAAGCACGAAAAACAATTATGTTGATAAACGGGACTGGGTGTGAAATCGGGTGTGCACTTACGCGTGGGCCTTTACTCGGCTTCTTCTTTAAAATTGATCGTAAAGACGAAGTGCGAGTTGACGATACTGTGGATACCAGGTCACAATCGGAAGAAACGCTGGTCTCGCGTTGTGGCTTACTATTTATGTCACTTTCTGCCGAAACACCATTCTTTGTCTCGACAGTTTTTTTCCGCGTCTCTTTTTTCTGATTGGGGAGTATACCATGGCGAACGGCCCAAGCTTCTGTATATTCGTAAGAGCCAGTTTTTGTTTTGACACCGAATTTCTCCTCAAGCTCCTTGTCATAATGGAATTGATGCTGAGAGTTTACAGATGCCACACTTCCACTTCGCACAGAGAAGGGCTTCTTGGGAACTGGTGGAGGCTTTTTCGGCTTTCGGTTCTCGACATTTTCGCTAGAATTTGTAGGTGCAGAATCAGTTTTCTTGGCGGTCAGTGGTGCCAAAATCGTGTTGCTAAACGGTATGCTTTCGACAGACTCGACTTTTGACCTGATAGATCCATTCCCCACCATACTAGACGTTGTCGACAGAGGATTCTTCGAAGAAGTAATATTATTCCGACCTACGGAAACGCCGTTAGACTCCCCCATAGCTGCAAAACTGGTGGAGTCGGAACTAAACGAGCGTGATACCACGCACTCTGGTGTACTATCGGCGCTTTCCGAGGACACACCTGAGGAAGAGGCAATAGATGTATTCCGCGTCGTCGTTGGGTGAAAAGCAGTTGGCGCGGTCACGCTTGCAATTGAATTGGTAGCGGAAAAACAGTTTAACGAGGAACTTGATCCATCTTCTACAGGCCTGCGGACAATTTTTGGCTTGGCCTTTACCGGAGGTGGTTTTGGACGCTTGACTGACTTATCGCCTAAATTCTCCATTGACAGACTCCGGTCGTGGGTGGAAAGGACATTGGAAAGTCCATTGATATAAAACGTTTCAGAATATCCTCGATTTAAACCCAAGCAAGAGGTGTCATCGCTACTGTCAGTAGGTCTTTCCTGAACAACTTTTGACGGCCACGTCACAGAGTTACGACTGCGTTCGAAACCCTCTGGAGTACTGTATGTGTGAACCGGGGAGAAATTAGGTTGAGAAACAAGGCCATTTTTCCTTGACCGTCCATGGTTCTCAAATAATTGTTTCAAGGATTCAACCGTTCCACCAACCGCCGCAGTCATCTCCGTGAGTATCGAATACTCGTCGAAAAACCGCAGTGCGCGGTTCTACGATGTCAACAAACAAGACAACAATAAACCTGCACAGAGAACTGAAAATATAATTAAACGAAAGTAACTGTAATCCCGTATCTAGTTTGTGTTTTTCGCGCTTCATAGTGTGGGTAAAGGATGAGACCGTTCCGCTCCAGGTCTGCCTTATCTGGTCCATCAACTGCGAATCTGTCGATCATTTATAATGATTAAAATGTTACATCATAGCAATCAGGGGTTAACGCTCCGTCAAAGCTTAGTTAGAGCAACCGGTTTACACGGGCACTAAAAGTGGATCGAATGTGGATACTTCACCAAGTATCGGGAACTGAGGTTCTGCAATGAACGTATTATATGGTACATATCCATGCAGTTCAAAAATGACAAAGTTTACTTAAACCAGTTTCCAAATCCTGTACAAGGTGGAGTCTTGATTTCAATGAAAAAGTGCTTTAGTCCCGAGGGGGTTAAGTAGACGAACGGTCCCATTTACTGGGTGTCCTGAAGGAATAGTTGTGTTTTCGGCATAATCTTGTTGGAATGAATGCAAAAAAAACTAAAGGGAACGTCAAAAGCCGGAGAGGATGCCAGTGGTTGCGGAAAGAACAGCAGAGAGATCAAATACGGCGAAAGTCCACTCGTCTTCGTCTTCGGACCCCAAAAAGCTCGAAAATATATTGAGGCTGTGAATGTTCGGATGTGGAGTCAGGTTGTAGAATTTCCCACCCGAGGATCAGCCATACTTGGCCTAATGTTCTGCAGAGATTCCATGGCTCATTCAGTGTCATCCCTAGGGTCAATGGGGAGCCGAGATCACGACATAGTTGCTTCTACGTTAAACCTCGAGGTCGACAAAATTTTGTCCCCAAAGTATCGTTTATTCTTCGATTTCCGACCAGCTCGCTCGACCAAATTATTAACACACCTTAATCCTTATGAATGGACTGATTTCTTCCTACATTCAGATGTAAATGTTTGCACTGTTAAACTTTACGAAATTTTGGATTCGCATATTTCTCGTTTTGTCCCCCGTTAAAAATAATTAATGTCGGGGATGGGGTTTTCCTACCCTTACCTTATGGCTGCAGGTTGCGCAGACTTCCTCGTCAATTTCATTTTCAGAACGACGTTTCCATGCTGCCCTCGATGTGTAAAAATTTTTTGAGCCGGCTAAGAGATTGTCCAAAGAAAAACGGCCAACCGAAGAGGTCTAATTCAGTGAAAACCGTTGTCAAATGTCTCGAAAATTTTCTCCCAAAGAGCACGAACCCACCGAAGGACGCAGCCTTCCACCCTCCGAGACGCTCTCTGGAAACTTACAGCTGATTCCCCAGTTAACCGTTGATAGTTTCACTGCGTTCCTGTCCAAAGTATTTATAAAAAACTCTGTCGCTCCGCTTCCTACCATCCAGGCACTGACCGGGACAGTACTCGAAACTATAACCTTCACTTTGTGGGACGTGACTGTAGCACTTCGGGGTTTTCGTCAATCTCATAGCCCTGGACCTGATGGTTTCAGTTTATTTTAGTTTATATAGTAAGGATAATAGGCAAAGCATTTGAAAACCCTTTTGATTAAATGTCAGCTCCTTAGAAATTACTGTACACGAGCACTTAAAATATTCGTTATTAAAATAGTACTTGATATTGTTGAGTGACATTGTTTCAGAGAAAAAAATTTGCGAAGTCGCGGGAATTTATCTCACATTCATACTGTCGAGGGGAAACCGGGAACACAAATAATCATCAAACGTTTCTTGAAGGGTTGTAGAGACGTCGCCTCCAAGACTGACTGAGGGAGATCGCTCCATTTCTGGAATAGAATAGTTTGTTCGACCGTCGATTTCGACGATGTCCACCATGTGCCCCACAGCTGCTGCAGAGGTGAGAGCAGGGACGGTGACTTGCGCAGGGGGTTTATAGTGCCAGTAAAATTGCGCTGCATCTACCTACACTCTCTCCTCCTCCCTCGCCCGAGCCCGGTGTCAAGACAGAGTCAGGAAGATCGGAGACGTGGGAGGCCGCCGGTGGATGGCTCGTACGTATCCTCACCTTGGCGTTGCACCAAACCCCCTGGTCCACACAACAAATGACCAGGATTTCAACCAACACAACAGAGATTTGGAGGCTGGCACGGCCGAAGCCGCACCTACGCGTGCCGCCAACGCCTGGCTCGGATCCCACACTGTGATGGGAGTGCCATAAAGGCCACATTAAAAAGGAGCCATTGCAGCCGGACTCTCAGACTACCACCGGTCAAGGAGGTGGTCCAAGTTTCCCCGTCAGTTGGCAACCTTCCAAGCCACGGCTTTTAGCGCACAGTGATAGCTTCAAGAGCGTCAGATTGTTTATAGTGAGGAAAGTACGTTGAGTCGTCGACCTCACTCTCCCTTCCCATCCCCACACCCCCGTCGCTGTCCGAGACGGTCAGCAGACTGGAGTGGGAAATGGGCGCGGTGGCTGTCATGGTCGACTGACCATGACTACGCTCGCCATGAGAACGACCTGGCTCCCCATACACACAAACACCAGGATTTCACACGACGGTGTTGCCGTGGGAGGTGCTGTTTCAGCCCGCCGCCCAGCCCACCAGTCCGCCATTCCACACAACACGCACACACACAACGCAACGAACTGCGTGAACCGAGAGCGGGCGTCAATCAGCAACCTTCCTATCCACGACATTTGACGTGTCGGGATAGCCTCGGACTCAAGTCACCCGTGCAGCCGAAGCCGCATGGGGACCGAGTCGAGATTCACACTTCCCACTTGCGTGGGAGGTGGCAGTTGGGTGCTTGCGGTGGGTGAGTGTTGATGTGTGGTGGGGTGATGGTGGTGGAGGAGGTAGTGAGTGTGTGAGTGTGTGGTGTAACCATCGGTTTTCTACCGCAGGTCGTCGTGGATGCGCATGTGACCGAATAGGCCCATGCGATGCCTGAAAGTGCGAGGGCAGTATAGGCAGTTGAGACGACCTTGGTGGGTATAGGTTGGTGCTCCTGGCAGTGGTTCGCAAGTCTCTGTGCGATGGATTCGCATGTTACCGACCAGGCCGATGCGAGAGGTGAATGTGCGTGGACAGTTTGGGCATGAGAAGTCGGCGGTGTCAGTGTCAGCTATAGAGGAGTCGGTGGTTGTGGTGATGATGGGCGCTGGCGATGGAACGACGGTAGTGCTGGGCACGGTGGGCGTGTTGGGCGTGGTTGGTGTGTCCGAATTG